GCAAATTTTATGAACATTTTACTATGCAAAAAATACAGTTAACATATGTATGAGGTATAATTACTGATGATAGAGAATGCTTAAAATTTTTTAAGTGTTACTGCTGTAAAAGATGCATTCCTGTCAATCTCCCTAAAAACTCACCCCCTCACTTTGAACACACTCATCCCATGCTTCTTGTACTTTCCGAAGCAGTTCTGGAAGTGTTCTTTCATGACAGTCTTTATAAGGTATGATTACAAACCAGTGAATGCTGCTGATTCCTACTTCTTAAAGTAATGGCCATAGTCAAAACCAACAGAGCACTGACTGACCCATTTCTCACCAAAACTCCTCCCAAATCCATTTACGTTCAGAGCAACCCATATCCTCTGCCTAGAGCCACTACTGCTGGAATTTTCCTTTATTGCAGACGTTACCTTGGGTAGAGCATCTCTCTCTTTAGAACAGCCTAGCTGGGAGCTACTCCTACGCGGAACCTTTCCTAATGCTGTGTCCTTCCCTCCCACGCTAACAAGACAGAATGCTGATGGGTACAAATGACATTTCCACTCATTTAGTTGGCATTTCTTTCCCTGCTGATTAATTTGAGCATCTTTTTGACATAGTTAGTAGCCATGTATGTTTGTTCTTTTGTGAAATGCTTATTCACCTCATTTTCCACTTTTTAATGGGTCATCAGTTCTTTTTGTTTATACTTTAAAAATCTTATGATAAATATATCATGTAGTTTTACCATATATATCATAAATACTTCTCCAAATATTGAAGATCACTTATTTTTATATTTAAAAATAAATTCTCAAACTTTCCTTTCTCTGTGTGAACACTATCTTACTATTTAATTTATTTAAATATTTCATTTAATGGGGCCAGGGAGATGGCTCAGTGGAATAAGTGCTTCCCTGGTAAGCACAAGGGCCTGAGTTCAATCCCTGGTTCCGCAAAAAAATTTAAAAAATCAAAAATAAATAAAGAAGTATTTCATTTTATTCTTTCTTTTTTTTAAGGACCCTGTTTGAATTCTAATTGGAAGTACATGGAGTTTTTAAGCTTCATTGTGGAGGAATTAACATTCTAACAATATGGAACATCAAGACACTCAAGCCAAAAGCACAGTACATCCCTTCCTTTACTCAGGATTTAGTTTATATTGCTCAAAGTCAAATTTTATCTTTCAGCATTCTTATCTCTCTATTTTACAATGTAATTTACCAAAGACCTTGAAATGGATCATTTCAAAATTGAAAACACTATGAATGTATAAAAGGTACCGTCTGATTATATTATTGTTGACTCTGCAATGTTACCTTTTCCACTGAAATAGGTTTTAATTTTTATGTGATTAATATGCCTAAATATTCCTTTACATTTTTTCATTCTCCAGTCTGATTTAAATGCAGCTTTGTCACCCTATGTGGTATATGCAGAGAGTGTGGAGAAGTTTTTTCATTTTAAAATTATTTTGTTGTTTGCATTCATAGTTTTAATTCCCTGGAATTCATTTTTGCAAACAGTTCAAGATCTCTACCCCAATTTTTACTTTGTTACGATGGATAGCCAATTATGTCAGCACCATTTATGAACTAATATAACTTTCTCCCACAGAGTCAATACTTTTATCATATGCTAAATTCTTATAATATTGGACTGGATTTCAGAATTTCATTCTATCCCACTGGTTATTTTACCACCAATCCTGCATGGATTTAATTTCAATAGGTTTTTATTATCTTATGGTAATTCATAATTTAAATTCTCTTTAAATTAAAATGATTTTCATTTTTATATTTTTAAAGGCTGTTCTTGAGTGATTTCCATATAAACTATAAGATCACTTAATCCAACTTTAAAAAAAAACTCTGTTGAATGGTACCTGAAATCATATAACATTCATGTGATAATTACAGAAAACTGAAATATTTCTCTACTGAGACCCTTCACCTACCTACTTTTTGAGTCCCTATACTTCTTTCAGATCTTATTTTATTCTTTTTAGTAAGATTCCAGTTTTCTTCATTTTTACCACTCCGGTTTTACTTTGTGATCAAAACAATTGAAAATTGAGAGACTACTTTTATTACCAAGTAAAAATTTATATATGTGTATTTTTGCATATTTTTAAATAGGGCTCTAATTATCTCATGTAACTGTTACTGACCTCTGGAAATTCTCAGAAATATGACATCATAACCAAATTCACTGAAAGAGGTTCAGATATGAGCCTGGAGAAAGGAAAACTTTGTTCTAGACTGAAAATTAAACTGATTTTTTTTTTTTGCTTTAGTGAAATTTATAATTATTGAAATCTTATCTGAAATGGCTTCAGAAACATTATCTCTGTTTATTCTTGCAAGTAAAGATATTATCTAAAATGAAATATTTTTCTGCATTCATAGAAACAGAATCTCTGAATATAGTCATTGTGGAATTATCACTCTGGAGTCTTACTTGACTAGAAAGTTTAGAAGCTTCCACGGCATGTTCAAAATCTGGTCTTCCAATTACAGCAGGCTCTCTATTCATTATTCCTTGCCCTTTCTTGTAGGCTGCCTACAATGAATAATAAGAAAGTATTAAATAATCCTAATTTCCAATAGTTACAGTAACGTTAGTCAAAATAAGATACTAATCCCATTAAAAATAATCCTTACAACAAATCAAATAATAAAATAATGACTGCTAAAACAGGAATTATTTGATATTGTAGCTATTTAAATAAACATGGCTTTTCAGAGTAAAATGGTAACACTGAGCCTCAAGCATGTAGCCACTGTCATAGCCATAGTTACTTACATATACTGAAAAAGAAAATGTTAATGGAAATTTCCAGATAATTGAACCTGTATACTTCATACAGGTAGCACTTAGTTTTGTGTGTCCTTAAGAACTGGTCTGATCATTTTTACTAACATGCATTTAAGTATAGTAATTACTGATTTTTAAAGTGCATCTTCCCTATATCATTCCAATATTTAGTTTAAATAAAATCATCATTTTTCCCAGGATTTTACATGTGTCAATAAAATGGCATTAAGTAAGATGCGTATTGTAGGAAAGATAAAAACAGTCATGCCATGCAGGAAATGTACAAATGTATGTGTTAATAGACAAGAATCAGCATAAATAACAGCAACAAGATGGGAACAAGTCCAAGTAAAGTTTTTCAGATCACAATGACATGAGAAAGCACATGGGCCCAGAAGCCTCGCAACTTTAGCCTTCAGTGCTGAGACATCTGAATGTGATCTTTTATCTACACAGTACTTAATTCTTCTAAAAATTATATCACTAGCTATAGTCACATGCAGCCTTGGCCATTTCTGCATATATCCACATAATTCATATAATCAAATGGGTAATTCAGGGAAAAACTGAGATGTCATTAATTCAAATGGAGTAATTATACTAACCACCCAACTATCAAAGCAGTGTCTAGTCTCCCACAAAAAAAATTTTTTAAAACATCATTTCTGCAGAAGATTAAGAAAGACAAATTACATTGCTTATGATCCTGGAGATCTCTGTTGCCTTCTTGATATCCGGCCTGTTGAGCTCTGCCGTGTATGCATGGGTGTCCTGTACGTCTTTCCTATAAGAAATCTGATCAAAGAGACAGTTTAGATTGAAGAAAAATGAATAATTTCATGTAGCTACTAACCTTCGTGTCCATAACATTATTCCTCCTTGTCACACAAGCTTAGAGAACATACCAACCTAAAGTTGCTTTATTATGTTTTGACGTCCAACATTCATTTTAATGTACTAATTCTTTATAGCATATGTGTAGCTCACTAACATTTACATCTTTAAAATTAATTTATACTACCCAAGAAATACAAGAATGAGCACAAAACTAGTCTTAAAGGATTTTGCATATACTTCTCTATTTATATGCATTTGTTTCTAAGTACATATGCTTTTTTTTTTTAATAACCAGCTCAGCCCACCATTGGGGCAGGGCTGGTATGGCATGCGATGCTGGGGATCGAACCGCGGTCCCTGTGCACTTGCCTAAGCAGGCACTTTAGATGGCTGAGCTATCTTGCCAGCCCTAAGTGTATATGCTTCTGTTCACATGGAGAATACCCTACCCATGCACTTTAGCATGCGCTGCACATACTTTCAACCCCAACAGATGCAGATGAAGCCCAGCTCCCAAATACTGAATATCATTTCCTTTGGGGAGAGTAATTTTTGCTGTTTTTTTCTTTTTCTTTTTTTTCCAGTACGGAGGATTGAAGTCAGAACCCTGCACTTTCCAGGCAGGCCCTTATTCCACTGAGCTACCTTCCCAGCCCATGAGACGGGAGGCAGTGAAGCTCTGCCACTTTCTCTTTTAGCTCCACCTTTCTCTCCCTTTTTCTACTGGACTTTTCAAATGTTTATGTCTGACAACCAAGTCATGGGTACCAATAGTCTTAATCTTTTATGTACATGACTTCCATGACTCAGCCCTCCCAAAGTAAAAGCAATCACATGAATGAATATCCCCTCTCTGAATGCATGTTAGATACAACCAAGCCAAAGGATGGAAAGTAGAGATTTAAAATACATTTTGGCAAATGGAAAGTCTTTTAGATCATGTTGTCTGTTTACATTAACTTGAATGACAAGGGGGAGGAGAAACCAGAATTAAACCGATAGAAAGCCTGGTGGCCAACAGCTCACCCATCTGTTCATTTCTCTGGTTCTTGAAATCTGTCCTAAATCAGTGATTGCCAGATGTAGTTCTATCCGCTACATCATCAGAGGCTGACTGACTTTCCTATACTAATGTATTCTGTTAAAATTATAATGCAAAATAGACAGACAGGAACGACCATTTTAAAAACCCATCTTTACTTTTTCAGACATAGCTAGAACTCAGAAATATGAACCACTAGCCACCTGTACAAATGTAAATTAATTGCCCTTTGTATAAATCAAGTCTTTCCAATGTTGCTCATAAAGTTTCTGCAATAGCATCATTTGGGCTACTTATTAAAACTGTAGATTCCTAAGCTTCATCCATACTCCTCTGGAACAGAATTTCAGTAAACAAAGCCAGGAATCTGAGGGGGTTTTTCAATACTAGAGATTGTATTCAAAGGCACTTTCCCACTAAGTTACATCCCTGCTCCTTTTTGAAATTGTGTTATTTGGAGAAAGGGTCTTGCTAAGTTGCCCAAGCTGGCCTTGAACTCATCACCTCTCTACCTCAGACCCTAAGCACCTAAGATTAGAGACATGTGCCCCCCATCCAGCTAAGAATCTCATTTTAATCCCCCATTCGATCACTACAAACCAACGTTCCAAGTAATATTTATTTATCTTGTTATATTCCTTTCAGCCTGACAGAGTTTTTTTAAAAAGTTCCCACCTTCTTCCTTCTTTCAAAATAGTTATCAGGAATTAAGAAATGGTGAGACATTAATACTTCAATAGGTTTCCAGGTTTCCTATGTATTATTTTTATTTCAGTGAAACATTAATGTATACTTTTGTTTACTCTTTTATAAGCTTGCATCTGCCTTCCCACCAAGACAATTGCTAGGCCACATTTATAATCATGAATCTGTCTGACAACCGAACACAGCTTAGACATAATTAGTATAATTTCAGCAAGAACATCTGTTTTCAGCAGTATTTATATTTTCATTGGCTTTGCCTTAACAAATAGTTTCAGGTAGGTTTTGTGCACCCAGGTAGAAAAAAAATATTAAAAATAATCTGGAAAGTGAATTATTTTGTTGGGTGAATTTTAAGTCTTCAGGGATTTAAAAATAGGCCAATTTCATTGGCTTCAAAAAGCAATGTACTTATCTACAGTGATGGCAACTTGGGCTCAGCCAACATTGAGTGAAACACGAGCTGTGTAAATAAAAACCAGCTCTCAGGTGAAAACACACTGAAATTATTACCCGCCTCCAAGACTAACTTACTGCATTCATATGAAAACCACGGGTGGGGCAGGGGATGTTTTTCTGTTTAGAAAAGAATGAGAATAAAAAATAGAAACCTTTACTTTTTGAAAAGAACTGCAACCTTTCAGAAATCTCTGCTTTACACGGGTTACCTAATTATATGCTGTTCAGCCTAATGACTGCATGAAGGGAGGTGAACAGCACAAAGGCTGCAGGAGCAGGGCTGTGAATAGGGCCCCATCATCCATGTAAATTGCAAATTAGAGGCCAGCATATGCGACTCAAAACAAATATTAAGATTGACACAAGCCATGCATTCAAACAAGAGGACACCACAGAGCCACACAGGAGAAAAGCATAGAAACCAATCACCAGTGAGATCTTCTAGAACACTATCTGGGGCTGGTCCATGGCGAGGGGCCCGCAATAAAGAACAGGCAGGAGGGGAGCACTCCTGACACCACTCTCCACAAGGACCTGTCAACACACTTGGTGCGGCAACAGGGCATCCTGAATAGAGTGCTTGTCTTCCTACATCGAACTTCCTGTTAACCTTGGTAGGTGTAAGGGAACTCCTCCAACCTTCCTCAGATGTCTGCAGCCTGTGTTTGTCCACCGCATTGGAACGCAGGAAGAATGAGAGTGTTGTGTTGCAAAAGAGAGGTTGAAGGCCACAGAGAGAGAGACAGAGAGACAGAGAGAGAGACAGAGAGAGAGAGAGAGACAGACAGACAGACAGACAGACAGACAGACAGACACAGAGACAAAGAGAGACAGAGACAGAGAGACAGAGAGACAGTGTTTTCCCAACCAATCCAAGTCCTCAATCCTAAACTTATTGCAACAGTGAAGTGATCTCTATTCTTCAGTCTTCATGTTCTCATGACAACACGGCAATCTATAGAATGGTGACGTAAATAAGGAGGGAGAATGGAAGAGATTCGACCCAGAATGGGTGCCAACTTGATGATCAGTAGCCGAGAGTGAATCGTTTGCTGTAATGTTGGATTTCTTGCTCTTCTCCTCAGTGGAGAAGGAGGAAATCAGAAAGAGGAGAGGAGCAGGAAAGGAAACTACAGTAATAATATTTTTAAATGGTCTCTGTTTAGGCTACTCTGTACCATATTGAGTATGATTCACTCTTAAAGATGTTCTTTTCAGGGCTAGGGAGATAGCTCTGTGACATAAACCCCTGCCTTGCGAGCTGAAGGACCCAGGTGTGATCCCTGTACCGCATGGCTATACCAGCCCCCAGAACTACTGGTGTGCTGTGCCAGCCACTGAGACTGGACATGGTGGCACAAGCCTGAAATCCCAGCCCTGAGGAAGCTGAGACAAGAGGATCACTATGAGTCTGAAAAGCATAGCAAGACCACGTATCAACAACAACAAAAATGTTCTTTGCAAATGACTACAGTACCTATTAAACCAAGTTCCCTTACTGCTCTTCTATTTCAAATGTATTTTTAAATTTTAACCATTTAGTCTTACTATGAGCGTCAGAAGGATTTTCGCAAATTCCACAGGGAAGACAAATGTACTGTCCATGAGCATCACATTACTCCTCTAAAATGACTTACAGAAAAAAATGGTATATTGAGATTGTTTTAGTCTCCTCCTGCGAGACAACACATTCCTGCATTTCCCTAAATCTGTACCATTCAATAGAAACAGTAATCATCAGCCAGGCCTAGTGGCACACACTGAGGCTGAGGTAGGAGGATCTTAAGTCCAAGTCCAGTTTGGGTAACTTAGGAATTTAGTAAGACCCTGTCTCAAAATTAAAAAGGGCTGTAGGTGTAATTCAGCGAGAAGGCCTTGGGTTCAATCCCCAGGACCATGGGAAAAAAGTAATTATTATACATTTATCTTGGACCCCATGCGCTGATTATCAGCTTACCTTTTCAACAGTAAGTTAAGATACACAGTCTTCTCTGAAACAATGATTCTCATAGGAATACCTATAATTGTTTGAAATAGTTGACAACTGCTTTTTGCCTTCTTTTTCCCACTGGATTTAATTGTTTGCCCTTTTCCATAGATGTGGGCCCTTTGCCTAATTTGTTCCTTTGTGGGACACATGGACTAATTTTCTTCTAGTATTTTTCTACCAGGAAACCACTTTCCCCTCATTCCATGTGATCAGGCAGGGGTCCTGAATGTAGCCTACCTTCTTATTAATGAGGTAGCTAAGTGACTCGCGCCATCCAAACAGAAGCTACACAGGAGGCCAGAGTCCTTCCAAGGATTCCTCGTGACAGTGTGAAGGCTCTGGATCCCGGGATGCCTAAGGGAGCTTTAATTTTCTAAGTATAAATTGGCCCTCTACATCCATGAGTTCTACATTTAAGATTCAACCAAAGGTAGAGTAAAGACACTTTTAAAAAACTGCATTGTACTGATGGGGGGCTGTATATAAACCATTAGACTTTCCCTTTTAACTTGAGCTCACTTGAGATGCATGTCTGACCCTAAGTCTAGAAAGCTCCAAATTTCATGCTTTTCTCTGGTGTCAAATTCATTACCACCTCCAAGAACTGTATTCCATCAAAATCTATCTTTGCATTCCTTCTTTGTCTCATCATGTTCACCTCTGCCCTCGGCTTCTATTTCTTACTATTCTTTCAAACTGGTCTTGTTCTCTCCTAATACTCTTTCTACCTCTGTCTCATAAGTGCAGCGCCTTTGGCACATTTCC